AAAGGCAACAATCAAATATCAAACCTTTTCAGTTACATGTTGTTCTTTAAAGGAATTATTTGTTTGAAATCATTTTATGCGGCATGGAAAACGTTTCCCATTGTAGCATATTCTTATATTCCAGAAGAAGATACACTCCAATTTCATAGTCATTTAAGGGAAAGAAAAAAACAAGAGGGTTTCGATCGACTGTTTTACTTACTTGATACTTGATAACGGCCCGTCCTCACTATTTTGGTGCGGGCCCCAGCATAATCACCATTTTTCGGAGATTTGCTGGTTAAGCCATTATGGTTCCCTGGAGTCTCGAGGACAGCCTGACCAAAGCCTGCCCCAGGTCTTCACCACGACAGGCAGTCGCAGCCCTTGTGGATTAGAGGGAGATTTGCCACCACGTGACTTTGATACCATAACCTGGTATTGGCTTACTCTTAGCTAGGCTTCCTGATGGAAACGCCAGACTCATTCTCGGCTTGGGAGACCCTGCCGGGGAAACGAATACCCCAATTGTACATCGCAGTCCAACACCCAGGAACACCTCCCAGGCACGATGAGGCGGTAAACCGTTGGGAGGATCAACTATTTTAGGAGAATCTAAACTATAATAATTAGTTTCTCATCGAAGTAATGGTTCCTGGATCGCTTCTCAGCAAAGGCCCTACTTGGGCATCAAATGCTCCACTTTCGGATTTTTGGAATTTATCCAATAGGCTTCAAAGGTTTTACGCACTGATTGTTTGGACTCCCGCATGGAGCAGTGCCTTTTGATCATGCCTGACCTGGCGCTTTGCCTCGGGCTGACTTCTATCACCTACACCACACACATTTCTCATCCATGGAAGACCCTATGCAGCTGTTCTCCAAAAAAAATGCCGGGAAGATTTGGGAAGAACAGAACGATGAGTGCTTGAAAGAAGCTGTTTTGCTGAGGTTATGAACGTGTTTGAGGAGTGGATTGCATGTCAATTTGACATTTCCAGTTTTTGAAGAGGGCGAAACTCCCGAAACTTCAGCTATTGTGAGTGGATAAATGCTGTAATAACAAACTCGTGTGTGCTCATAAATAAGGCTTAATAATGAATAGCGATGTTTCATATGAAAGCCACCGCCCCATATTTGAACGAGTTATCACCACTGAATGTAGATGTAATATCACGGTTGTACTGAGTGTTAAACAGCTCTCGTCCAAATTCTCATTCGTTATTCAAAGGGATGTTCAGTATTATTAAGGGCAGCTTGAACTTTTTTGTGTTCTAGGACTACGGCTGAAGTTCCCATTGCAGCCGTGGCGATCTGTTGTGTAGAATGGAATTTCTGGTGATGGTGCTGTTCTCTATTTTCGGATGACCAATGAGCGTTTTTAGGAGGCGTCCTTGTCACACAGTCACGTAAGAAAGTGTGTTCGTCTTCGACATGTGTAAAATATATTGCGTTCGTTCCGAGGTGGTCACCGGGCGACTCTTTCATGTTGACCTTGATGTGGATCACACTGCAGTGGCAATCGTCGCTTAATCTCCATGGTGTCTGGCGTTTGCAAGTTTTTCAGTACAGTTACCGTCGTCATGGGATTGGCAGAGCGACTGAATGAGAGACCATTGGTGCTAGCTAACGGTGCTTCGCAAGGGATTTGCAGCAGTCGGACACTTCCATCCATTTTGTGTGCCTACTATCCAACACAGTTTATTGCCTTGAGTGTTTTGGTATTGTGCATATAAGAATATCTTAGACATGACAATTACGGAATTATGACTGTGGTTCATTCGAGATCGTTTTACACTTCGTACAGGTGGCGATCTATGGAAAGGGGTTCACTAAAGAAAGTGAGCGATGAAATCGGCAGTTTTGGCTCGAACAACAGCGACAGTTGACGACAAGGAGAGCGGTGACACATAAAACTAATGATATATTGAGTTGGTTATGTGCTGCGATCAACGTAAAATCGTTGACCTGAAGTCGTAATCGAGTACATTTTGCGAGATTCCAAACTGACCATAGCATAAATGTTTGTAAGTGAACCAGATAGAACACACACAACTACATCTACCCTGAGAAAAACATCCACGATGTAACGTTTCGATTTGCATTCATCCACGAAGATAGGAAAACGATGCCTCCACTCTGCCTCCATGTTTTCCAAAACGATTTATTCGTGGGACAGCTAAATTATGGAGCCCTGTTATCTGTTTCTCTTAGTTGTTTCAATTGTAACGTTTTTTCTCCACATTACTTTATGCCACGATTAGAAAATGCAGTGCAGTGGTCAGTGGTACGTTTTAAAGAACAGATAGTCCTTTCTTCGAATCCGCACTCCCAACCAAACTTCCCGCTCCTTTGCCGGTAGAAAATTAGTACAAAACTCATTTAGTAGAACAAAAACACTAACTTAGCCCATCTGTATTCAGCACTTTACAACACTGGTCAAAAATGAGAAAGTTTCATACTCCATTATAACGTTTTATTCAATAAATCCACTTCGATTTTTTAACACTGAAAATATGCTGGATAGTATCGTAGAAACTGATCCGCCACCAAATGTTTCTCTCATGATACCAGAGTTCTGGAGGGGCACTAATGATGATCGTCATGCCATACAAGGATTTAATTGGCTTGCAAGAAATTTCTAGAATGAAAGTTTTAGAACTAAAATTGTTCTCGTGAGATTACTGCTAGAAAAGAATGTTTTAAATGAATTAATCATTTCAACAAATCTTGGAAACCCATGATTGCCATATGCTGTATCCCTCGCCATCATTATTTTAGGACGCATGAATAAGTCTATTCTCAATAACGAATGTTTCTGGTATACTTTTATACTTGTGCTTCGTATGCTATAGTCTGGATAGGGGAGTGGTAGCGATGCCATCGAGCACACGCGAGGTCTTCGTGGACCCCGCATCGGCTACACCAAGCATCCAATTCCACCGAAGTCGAGAAATTGATAACAGACTTCCCTTGCGTCAGTTCGTTTCCTCTAATCGACAAAAGTTGCCAATGCCTGGGATGAATACTTGTAAACGCCCTGGCACAGTTATGCTAAATTTTCTATCAGAACCAACTCAACCAGTATCCAACGACATATGGAGTGCCAGAAATCCTCAAGTGGTGGTCAAACCCAAACGTAAAATACAAAGACCTTCGAGAATGATGGATACGAGCAAGAAAATCGAATGCAAAAATGTTTAGCTCTGCTCAGCATGTGTTACTGGGTCGTGTGAAAAAACAAATCAGATCTATACATTTATATTTCTTCCTTCTTTTCTCGATTCTTATCTAAACATAAGCAGATCTGAGCGGAGGAGATCGTTATAACTTTTAATCTTGATTTGGGATGACGAGATGATGTTTCCTCTAAAAACGCTTATTCGTTGTTGAAGGAAGTCCATAGCCGGACAAATTTCAATAGCAGAATGAAAAAGTCAGTCGCGGAAATGAGAACGCGGAGGTCTAACAGTTTGTGGTGGACGTTTATGAGCGCACTGGCAGATGTGCGACTGAAATCTATTAGTTGCGATGTTATAAGATGTTTTTACATAGTGTAGAAATGTGGTATTTCCTTGGGGAGGTGGTATTGCGCTAGTTTGTTGCACTGATAGCATCCAGGCGTTCCGCCTGATCGGAAATCTTATTCAAGGGTTCATTTCAATTACAAGGAAGACGAAAAGCAATCTGTGCTGAAAAAAGTTAAGAGAAAATATCTCTCAAAGATTTAATTGCCCTTTAAGTGGGTACAAAGAAATGATAAGGACAAAGGGAGAGCAATGTTTAGCTTTGACAATACTTATGTTAGTCACTGGGCTAACTTTTTATTTACTGCCTAGTACTACTTTTAACGGCAGCGCATTATATATGATACAACTACAATGATGCTGAGATATTTGCAAAACTCCGGAACGCAGGTGCACGCGGTGGGGAACGAACGTGCTATTACCCTTTACGAGGGCTGACGCGTTCACCACCACATCATGTGGGTCTTTCGTTTCGCTTGTCTCTCAGCTAGTTGTCTCTCACTGTTCCAAAAAACCTTGAAGATGGAAGAAGGTCGATTGCTAAAAGGTGGACTAGAAATCTCGCCTTTACCGATAGTCGTACTGATTTGTTCTTGACTCTGGGCGCTCACCTGCCATATTCCTCTACATAGTAGCTTAATATTTAAAAACCTTTATGATAGCGAATATCAGCTTGCTCTGTGTTTTTGACAGTGAACAAATCAAGTTCAGTCAAACTTTCATATAATCCCTAAACCAATTTATTATGTACAATATGTGAAAACGAAGAAAATTCCGTACGGGCTTATGGAAATTGAGAATCACCAAGGCTTTGTGTTACCAATATGCTTTAAAAGTAGAAGAAATTCACCAGCTAAAAATCAGAGCGAAGAAACTTAAGTTTTTTTTCTGCATTGAAACACTTATGCTTCACAAAATTGTTCCGATTGTGCCGCCCTGTGTAATTTAAAAGTTTCATATTAAAGTTAGTTTTTGACGGAGGCATCAGGAGGAACAATAAAATGCGAGCTTATAGGCTTCGTTGTGGTTTGGCGAAGCTTAAAAATAGATAGGTTTTAGAGCACTAGAATTTTAGAGTAAATACGGAAATTCGGAAATCTTCTATCAATTTCATAACTACGGGCACTGCATCGTCCACCCTCATGCTTTCATACAGTTCTTCTCCTCTGCGCCCTACTAAGACGCAAGCAAGAGCCGATAGTTGTTGAATTCATACAACAACAGCTATTAATCTCGAAGCTGTAGGGCAACTACAGAGATGTTCCCTATTCGCTCAGTGCTTCCTATTTAAATCACACTGTCTTTCGAACGTCACAGTGTGCTTCACCACAACAACTTCAACTGCGATCTCTCATCCAGCACTAGGACAAACTCTGAGAGCTCGTTTAGATGTTCACGCGATGCGTACAATTGCATGAGCTGCATCATTTCACCAGGCTATTCAAAGGTGAAAGTTGTCATTAGAGCACCTGGAGATGTGAATTTTGGCAAAAAATGGCCCCGCCTCCATTTTATGCTATCTCTGTATCGGTGTTGCTCATAAAAGTTTGTTCTCGTTGTCCTACATTCAGTGATGTCGCTGCGATACCGTGCATGGTACCAGAAGCTAGAGTTGCGAAGAACGAAGTCGACGCTTTGTCTCTGGACAACTGTCCGTCCGTCGGATCCCCTCCGCCCAGCGCGCCAATGCGTCATCGTTCCCCATCGGGCGACTTCGCTCATGTTCTCAGCGACGCTCCTCCCATCCGGGGGTAGCTCGAGTCGCTCCTCGTCTATGTGCTGGTCATGCTGGACGTCCATTATTAGTTTAATGTTAAATCTGTTCCTATTCACGGCAGTAGCCGTTTCTGTGGCAAATGCAGTAAGTGTTTAAATCATTTCGAAATTCAAAACATCCAAGGCTTCTGAATATCTACGAGATCAATCCGAGATATTTTTACGACTATCTCTTTTCAATATCGGTTGGCCAATCAGTAGTACTTTAGAAATTTCAGCACCCATTTGTCTTCCTATTACAATTAATTTTGTCAGCGAAAACCTTCGCCATTTCTGAAAGCTCTGGCTTTTCGAGCCAAAAGCAGAATCTTTGATACGGTGTGCAACAGAACTTTTTGTTTTCTTTTAGTACTTGTCAGCTTGGTTTTGTCTTCCATTTTCGGTCTATAATTCTCTGGGCCTTTCCTCATCAGTTGCTTTTAATCGATATCATTTCTTTTGCCCGAGGAAATCCACTGTTCTCCTTCAACGCAGCGCTTTTGTTGCGTGGATCGACTTCGCACTTGAATTCGCCGTTATGGGATCCACGCGCTGGTCATGCCTTGACAAAGGAATGTTGCTAGGCGCGGGAGCGATTTCAGTGTTCACAGCACTTGCGTTGATTGGGATTCAGTTTTTCAGGCTATTAATTACTACACTGTAGATTCTTAAATGAGAAGAAAATTAAAAAATATATTAGATGAACCTTTGATCGAAGAGAACCATCGTACATTTCATGCGATCGTGGAAAAATTGTAGTTTTAGGATTTGAAACCGAAACCGAAATCGATGCAAGGTGATGCACCGTATTCACATAGAAGACTCTATGGAATCCGACGACTGAAGGTCTCTTAATCTGCTTCATTCCTGCTATAATCGGATGAACATAAAGAGCATCTGCCCCGGAAATCTGTTGTATAAGGGATTAATCTACTACCGATTTAACGAAACTCGTTCACAAGTGATTATGCCAACAATAGAACTGTGCTATATTAACCTGGTCTTCATATAATGCTGTTTGAACAAAAGCAAAATATGAACCTAAATTTTCATTTCAACTCTTCAGACGGGGTATTCTGCTAGGATTTTTAATATGCCAGATCTGTTCCCTGAAATTTGAGCTTCTCAAGGTGAAACAACTGAAGAAAATTGCCTCCTAAAATCCTTTAGAAAGAGATTCGGTTCCTTCAATATTGTACGACTTAAGTGTCTCAGTATGTAGCGAATTCAATTCACATTGCTCGATAAATGGCTAGTACATAATTCATTCAATTCATCTTTTGCTGCTAGTTATGCCTGCAGCAGAGCAAAGTTATCCTTTTTTCTTAGTGAAAGAACTTCTGTCATTCTAAGCACAAATTTCATAATGTCTTAGTTGCAAAGCATGTTTAAAAGGACAATAATGGAAAAATGAACGCTTCAGGTGATTCGACCACTAGTGAGCCCATTGGGCGAGGTGGGTAGTACAGCGGCAGTGAGACGATATCAATCCACAGAACAGAATGCGACGAGCTACAATGTGAGCACATTTTACGGTATTTTCTCCCAAACAGTGAGTGCTTCGATGTCGCAGAGCTTGTTAATGAAAGTGATGCAGGGCGTTCTCGTTCTCTGTTACCATGTCCCTTATTTTCCAGTGGTGTTTAGAAGCGACCCATTTCCGCCAGATCATTTGCAAGCATTTCATTTTTTCACAAGAGACAACGATAGGCATTTTCGGTGTTAATTTGATGACGCCGACGATCTAAAAAGGAGATGTGGAGGGGCTAGTGCCTGAAAACTTGTTCCCACCTTCTATCATGACACCACGCATAAAAGGAACTCAGCTAACTAGATTTGCTATTATTCGAGGAATTTCATAGTGAAAAGATACTTAGAATAACTAGTGTACGGCTGAAGAATAACGGTGAACACTTACTAGTGAAAGGCATAATTCACAGATACACCTTTCTAGCTGTTTTGTTCTTAAACTTAAAAGGAGCTTGAACATTTATACTATTTCATTTGATTAAAACATGCTTGTAGCGCAGTGGGTTACAGCTGCACATCGCGTTTCCCTTGACCTGGCACCTCAGCCTCACCAAGTTTACCATGTCTTCGGGATTGTGCTGTTTTCAACGTAAGAGGATATGCTCTTACGAGAATCAGTAACCTGCGAATCATGAGACATTTTGAAAAAACCAATTCGACACTGGTCAGTTTTGGCATGAAGGAATCCTCCGGAGGCTTTAATCTTCGAATTGCCTTTGCTTAAGACTTTTTTTTTAAAGACATTGTATTTTTAATCTTCCATGCCATCACATTATAATAGCATGAATAGCATTGTTTTTACAAACCTCGTAGTTCTTCAGTATGTTTCAGGCTATCATATGTGTTTTTGTAGCTATTTTTACTGAAAACGAGAATGATAGAGATTGTGGACGGTAATTTTGGATTTTATGTGATTTTCGATGATATCGTCGAGTGTAGCGAGGGCACGTGTAGTACAGAGGTCGGAGGCGCCCTGCAACACACAAGCGATCGATCTCCGTGCCTCAGACCCACCAAGCCCTCCATCCCTCAGCGGTCGCGAAATTGGTGCCAGACTTGTCTGAGAGGATAGCAGCACTGGGTCAATACATCGGTAGGTCACCACGAGTCATTGTAAAGGCCAGGTATGCATTCAATCACCAACGACGCTTAATAAAGTGGAATGCATAGCACATCCCTCAGGATAGATCAACGCCGAAAGCTTTATCCTTTACCCTTTATTTCATTGTGGAGTTTATAGGAATAGACTGAAACATAAAATACTACGTGGTGGTACCATAGATGGTTCGAACGTACGAATTTGCCGCTTGCTCCTAAAGGCTCAGTTGTCCAGGCGTTCCATCCAGGACCACAGTCGATGTTTCGGACGTTGAGAAATTCTTGAAGTCGATTCCCCATTGGAGGCACTATATCAACGCTTTTGTCGTAATTTTTCAGGCTGATTTTCATTCTTCCTCATACCATCTTTCCATTCTTATTCTTTTTAATTTTTGTTTAGTTCTTCTCTTTAGAATGCATCGAATACAGGCCTACTTAAGAATTTCGCCTCCTATGTTTACTGAGAAGAACAGAAAATGGAACTATCGCTTCAACCAGTTTAAATTGCTCTCCACGTAGAAACGTCGAGTTTGATGTGAATTCCAGATGATTGACACCTAACTTAGCTCATAAATAGCTACAACATAGTAATAATTGGATACTGAGATGGTCCGTCTTCACTGATTGTGCGTTCCCAGCATAATTTCCTCTTTTTTGGAGTTTTGCTGGTCTAGTCATTGTGGTTCCCGGGAATCCCGGGGTCAGCCCGGCCAAAGTTTACCGTAACATAGTAATAAATTATCATAAATGTTTAGTTATTTCCCCAGTCTTAGACGAGGTTGGGAAGTTAACTACAAATTCTACTCGCTACCGATCCCTTCGCATGAGCAAGCTGTTTGAAAATCGTCAATGGGGAGCTCGAATCGAAGAGTCAATGTGGGTCTTTGCTTATTTACTGCCGTGGAAGATCCCTGGCTCGTTAAGGGTGAGAAGAACCCGAAACAAATCACGAATTATCCACCTATGTCATAAACAAGATTTATTTGTTTATTTTTGCTTTGTACCTCGCAAATCATTCGGAGTATCTTCGCATCAGTTTCCGCTTTTAATATCGTTCTCTCAACCGAAAAATGACCATTCATTGTTCAACTGATGAAGACGATGGAATGATATAGTCTGTACGATTGATAGAGTATGAGAGAAAACGAAAAAGTGCAAAGGAAGGTGAAAAAACTTCTGTGGCGAATTCTCACTGGCGATGTCTCGTCTCCTGCACTCCGACGGCAGTAGCTGGCCGATTGCTGGCCAGTTTCATGAACACTACACAACAGGCGTCTATTGATCGTGACTGGATCGTCCATTTCTCCATAGCACTTGTGACTCTGGAAAAATTCCAGTCTTGACCCAGAGGACGATTGATTGAAAACTGAATCGTCACTGACGAGATGGTGTCTGTTGGTGAGAGCATGAGTAGCAGCCGAAACGAGGAATTCAACGCTCAGCTATGGCTTTCCAGTATGTCTTCCTCACGATGGTTTCCATTCACTAGAACTCTCAACGTACTTAGGCTAACTTTAAGTGACGCGGAGAATGCGGGTAGAATAAAAACGAACGAAGGAAAATTGGGATTATCCACTTACAGCGCCGACGTTTAAAAAGATTAAGAAAAGTGAAGGCAATTAAATTCGGTGATTCGACTGTATGGCTTGGAACCATCCACTCGAAGTATCCGTGTTTTCTAGTTTAGACTTTAAAGAGCGCTACGAGGTGGCGAGGAACCATAATTGGCTAATGGTCTTTAAGAATGTTTCGATAGAAAAACAAACTGAAAACACGTTTGAGAAATAAAGGAAAAAACTGGAATCTTTGGAAAAAATAATTTTAATCAGGGCGAAACATATGGAATCCAGATGTTGTGACAAGTCGTAGATTTCCGTGTTCAGGTGAGACTTTGATGGTTGGCTGAGTCTTGAATTCGTCTATTACAATTTTCAAATCGTTTTCGTTGACTTTTGTCCGACAGAACTTTTAAAGGACTCGTCTGGCTCAAGTTGATGCGCATCCATTTTACCAACAACGTTGATCAGATATAACATATATGGAGGTGCATCTCACAACTTGTCGTTTTTCTGCTCACAACACAAATAATCTGACCAACAATATTATTCTCATTAATATGACATATTTCTGGAGTTGAATGGACCAGTTGGTCGATGCGATGCATTATTGGCGGTTAGGCACGAAGAAGCAATCGAGAGTTTATTGAACGGAAAGGGAGAGCCGGGAATCGGGTCACCCACAGCGAGTGGGAGGGAGGTGCTGAAAACGAATCGTACGCGCGAACGCCGAGAAAGTTGTGGATAAATAATAGCATGGAGAAACATCCGGCAACACAGAGGGATTTGAATGCAACAGTGAAGCTTGAGCAGTTAAGTGCTGGTTTCATCAAAGCACTGCACCTGAGGGCTCTGTTAAGTGGACTTGAGAAAAATTTGACCATCGCTCTTCTTGGCAAATTGCGAAGCATGCAAAATTCCCGAGCTACATTTACCCTGCACTCACAATTACAATAAACGCTTAGATGTTGAAAGAAATAATTAGTCTCTAAAACATTTTTTTTAGAATTCTATACTGCGGGCACAACCTCCTCCGAAACTCCCAGATACTTTCGAGTATCCTGTAACTCGACCTCAAGAAGAACAACTGCTGAACTCCACCACACCCTCAACTACCACTAAAAAATCATCGCCTGTTTCCACACAGGACTTAGCCGATCATTTCGAAGAAAAACGGAAGAGGATTGAGGTAGAATCTACTGCATTAATTATAGTCTCCTCATGCTTTCCATTTGCAATTCTTTTTTGAAAAAATACTGCGACTTTCTGAGGACCTGTTAGATATTCATGAGAGAGGATGAGAGAGGCGATTTGTCTTAGATGTAAAGTTTCTAGATTAGAAGGCTAAGAACTTCCATTTCCATTTTTCCACCTTCATAAGACACATTTTCTTCTGGCATGGGTTTTCTGTCCGTGGTTACGAAAAGCTGACCAAGGGGTTTCTTTCATTGAATCAAGCAATTATTTTTCAACGTATAACTGCCGCCTGAGCAATAGCGGGTTTATAACTGAACTGTTTTCCACTATTATTCCATCCTTTGGTTTTTTCTCGCTTTTGCACTTTTGCTTTTGCATTTTTGCTAGGATCTTTTTTGAACAACTGAGAGCCCACAATTTACATTACCTGCAAGGTAACTTCTCTCATAGCAGTTTTGCACTGATTCTTACACACATTTTGCCTAAGATATTCTTACATTCAAGGCCGCGAATAAAAACATATTTTCTATTTCAACATTATATTACTTAAGCCGAATTGTGATAATCTATTGGAGTTTCTAAATGATCTTCATATTTTAAAGTCATTCTTACGTGTACTCTTTCATTGATGAGCTAACATGGAATTGACAAAAGGTTTATTCGCCTATTCGATTCTTTATCAACCTCGTATTAGCTTACCAATTAAAGAATACATATTGAGTAGTCACGCCAACGTCAAACGAAAGTTGATTTTCGAAGCAATCATTTTGATATAGTTTTCCTTCAATTTAGATCTATGCAGGTTCAAATGGAAGCTGTATTTTCTAGGAACTATATAAGAGCAATACTTATTCAATCGTCTTCCGTGTGACCTTAATCTTCTTTCTCGTGCATTTCCTTGACCATTTCCAGAAAGTGAAGTGTATCGTTCTCAATCGGCGGACAAAAACTAACATTAAGGCGTTCGCCTGAAATGTGCTATTACTTCTTTATTTTGCGACTTTACACAGGAATAGCATTCTCGCTTCTCGGTGTAGGTGAAACATACCCTTCAGTTCAGCTTGAAAGTAATGCTGGCGTTTTTCCTGTTCTGTACGTTGTCTCCCTTCAGCCCTCCTTGTGTGGAATGGCTCTTCTCATTGCTATCACATACAGATCTCGCTTTTCACCGTTAATCTTGAAAGGCGGACATTGAGCGCAGTCAAGCCGGTTTAAAGTGCCGCCTTGATCGGGGTCAGATAAGATGTGCTAACGAATAGTCCTTCGAAACTGAATCTCTAAAATTCCGCAATCTGTAGATTCTTTCATATGCTCTTAGAGATGGGGTTATTGGAGGGGCGGGGCTACAGTAAACATGGTTGTTGTTTCGAATTTACTTTTAAAGAATGGCTTAGTTTTGTGGCTCTACCTTTACGAAACCTGACTGAATGGCGAAGATCTTTTTACTTGGCATCATTCGAGTAGAAGGTGCCTCGACGAAGTGCAATGGCGTAAATGTTAACTACTTCTCATTCACATTTTATTCAGACAATTTAACTGCTTACGGTTCGGTCTTCGAAAAAACAGGAGCAACGGCTTTCCGCTTTTGCTCTTGACTTATCCCTTATCCCTCATTAGAGCCTTATAACTCCATAGTCTACGTTCAGAGCGATTATGTGAAAACACTAAACTATAGCAGTTTCGAGAACCTTCCTTGTTGACTGAGCGACGAATCTCGAAAAAATATACTTTACCTTTAACTACGGAGACTAGACACTCATTTTCCGCAGATGCCGAAAATTGTGAAACACCTTGTCGTCAAGGTAGATTCGCAAAAAAAACCTAGAGACAACTGATTTTTTTAAGAAATCGACGACATAGAACAATACTAGAGCAAGTTTTTATTTTGAAGGTGCATGTTTGTTCAAAACAAGGTTTTTCGTTTTGCCCATTTACGCCTCGTGAGACAAAACATGCTGGATTTCGAATATTATTAACGGATGCTTAAAAACGGAAGCAAAATGATTCATGCATTTCTAGCAAAGATTTTCGGATTCGGATTTGTATGCTCCTATTGGTCGTCTCCTCCCAACGTTTTACCTCCTCATTGTGGCTTGGAGGTGTCGGTTGCAGGGCTGCGATGTACAGCGAGAGATTCATCCTCCCCCCACCCCCGTAGGATCTCCCAAGCTCAGAAGGAGTCTGGGTTTTCCATTATTTTTCATCAGTAAGTGTAGCTAAGAGTAAACGAAATAACCAAAACCGGGATCGACCACCACCTTGACATCAAACTAGTCGCATGGTGGTAAATCATCCTCTATTCCCACAAAAGCGGCCACTGTCTGTGGTGCCGAGGATCTGGTGCCGACTTTGGCTAGGCTGACCTTGGGACTTCAGGGAAACACGATAGCTAGGCCAGCAAAACTGCGAACAATGGAGATTATGCCGTAGCTCGCACAACCGGTGAAGATGGGCCATCCAAGTATCCAGGAATCCAAGTATTGGTCGTCTATTCTCCGAGGTGAAGTTACTGTCAGGTTTCTACTCGGTGTTTTTTTTGTTCCTAGAAATGGATTGTCGTCAGGGAGGATCTATATTTTATTCCGAATATGATGTGAGTAGCAAGTCTCCTTGTGACTGTAATTGGTTCTGCCAAAAATAACTGAGAGGGAGAATTCCAGTCATTCGTGTGTTTCATTCCTCATTGTGTCATTCATTTTTCAACCTCTCATCGACTTTCGTTTCTATGATTTGTTTTGAGTACTTTGCAGCAAATTCCTGCAAATGTTTTAGAAATTGGCATGGATGAAATTTTTCTGATCAACCAAATGTGAACCGACAGAATAGTTGCGGGGACTCATTGGTCGTGGTCTCAGTGGAACATGAGCCAGTTTTTCTGATGTATTTCCGTTCTTACGATAATACTTGTTTTTTCTTCAAATCATTGATACTATTTTGCCTTCAGTTGTTTCCATCTCTTTTTGGTTCATCCTCTTAGTCGTTTTCCTGTGTCACATGGATTACAAGCGGTCGAATTTGTAGACTCGCTGGAGAAGTGAAGGAATTAACAACTTATCTGTTATTAAAATATTGTATCTTTACCGTAATTTCTGTTGCGAAAAGGGTAGTTGGGTTGGCAGATAACAGTAATTATGGAGATTTTAAAAGGTAAGAACTTTTGAAAAGTATAGACAACGCTTTTTTCGTTGCATTTCTTATTGTTTTTCAGCTACCCAATCGTTCCTACACTGTTTTTTAATTGTCAGCTTGTTTGAGCCCAAAAAATAAAAAACATTACAGCCTCAACTTAACTGGACTCGTTGCCGATTTGGGCTCTCCAGATCAATCCCGTTGGCGGGTGACTGCTGATGGCACTAATCCACAGAACTAGATGAGAGACAGGCAAAACGAAGGAGCTGCACGGTTTGGTGGTGAACGCGCTAGCTCCCGGGAGGATTAATAGCGTGTTCGTTCTCCACCGCAGACATCTGCAGTTCGGAGTTTTGCAAATATCACAAGATCATTGCGGTTGGATCACACCTAATACCCTGCCGTGAAAAAATGTGATAGGTAGTGAATAAAAACTTGATAAAAAACATAGGAATGAGCTTACTTCAAATGTTATGCACGGTTCTCCCTCGCACATCTATGCTACTTCTACCTAGGTTTTATTGCTTTAAACTGTGTACTGAAGAATATTAGAGAATCTTATTAGTGGCACTCATGCGTCATAGCTTTTATTAGTCCGCATAGTAACTTGGATTACATTATTCACAATGAATCACAACGGCCCATCTTCAGTACACTCAAAACAGCTTTTTTTCCGTTCTTCAATGTTTTTCGCGCGAATGCAACTTTTCCCTACTCGTTTTCCCGTTCTTCAATTCGACTCCACAAAACTTTTTGGGCTTTGAGCGCAAAATCTTCATTTCGACAGGTTTTAGGCGCGATGGAAAAGACTCGGCATTGACTTGCGGAAGGTTCGATATCCGATTTGGAAAGGAACTCAAGAAAAGCCGTTTAGTGCCGATAAGCTGCCACTAGCTCTGAATGAGAAGTCAAGCTCTCCGTCGAATGGAACCGGACCGATAGCGGAGATCGAGAAGCTGATCGGCGACGTCTCCATAAAGGTTGCAATATTTCACTGATTTAGATATGAGCCTAGGAAGAAAACAGCGAGTTGAAGGAAAGCACAAGTGTGTATTCAGTTCTAGGTGTTGTGGCAAATTCGGAAAAAAAGATCTTTCCCATCGCTTTTTGTTTTTTCACAAATCGATGAAGTCAAAACCGAAAACCGATACAATTTCGAGGTGCACAAGAAATTAAAGGAGCTGCAGTCCTCACGTCGAACGAAGCTTAAAAGTTAATTGGAGCTCCTTTTCATTTTTGAACTGTTTAGCGATGTGTTGACTGCGTTAGGCTTAAAAATGGGTCACGTTCACTTCAAACACTTTAAAAGCAGGAATCAGTGTTTGAATTTTTTTTTGAGACGATAGTGAAATATTAGGTTATTTAAAAGTTCTTTCTATGAATGAGGTTAGCGTAGCGAGCGCGAAAGAGACTGGTTCAACCCTCTCCCCAACGCTCTCCTCCATTCGACGTAGGAACCCTAGCTAGTGAATCTCCAAGATTTCATGGGAAATCGACTCAACTAGCATTATACGAAGTTCATAAAAAAGACCAAATTTTTAAGCGGTAGCTCAAACAACAGGTGTTCGAAGACCTTTGCAGACGAATAAAAAGAATCGAAATGCAAGAAATTCTGGGATCCGCGCTGCAGATGTGATGAGTGTATTCCAGTATTTAAAAAGAATAGAGACGTTCAGTGTTGATGAGTCCCTGAAGAATGTGACATGCAGTGGACCTCACCAAGCGTCATCAGAATGCGCTGAATGCACATCTGGACCATACAATGACTTGCGCGGATCTATCGATATACTGCAATAGTACATATTTTTTTCACTGATAAGATAGCACGGGGTTGTTAGAAATACTTTATTCGGCTAATGTTTCGGCACCTTCGTCTTTTTCAAAACCGGATTGGTCCAAGTCAACTGTCCACAGTTGTTTCTTCTTCAGATGAAGGTCTTCTTGATAATGTCGAGTCAAATTCAATGGAAATTCAGCACTAGTCACTGTCATGATCAGCTAGCACAAAGCGTAATATTGGTCAGTCATTCCGAGATTAGAGGAAAGTCTGTTTTCCAAATATCACACGAGTGTTGTTTATGCTGCCAGGTAAGTCTGGTACCATGCCGGTTGCCGACCGCCAATATGTGTAAGACTTGGTGTCCCTGACCAAGGAACCAAACCGATACAGCAACTGCGCTGCACGTTTACCTTTCAGTTTAAATTTTTACTTCCTAAAATACCTAATTTAAACGTTTTTACCGTGTAATTTGAAAATCATACTTCCTAAAGTTTTAGTGCTGGGCTTTCTTGACAGTGTGCTGCTGACTAGGTTAAATTCTCCGATGCTTGTTGCTTTGTCATATCATGAATGAATAAATGAAATCATCCAATATTGGTGTATAAGCAGTTCGGTTAAAATGGTCTAGTCTTAAGCTTACAGCACTTGCCCTCTACTGCTGCGTTCAACGCCTTGTGGCTACTGTCTTTCGTGCGCTAAACATGGAGAGCGTTTCCCTTTTATTCACGCGCAACCAAACAAACAAAACACTTTGTCGTTCAGAAAGATGAAATCCGGACAGCAGAGACGCCAAACACCAGGAAATCGATGCCGCTGATCACCGAAGACAAGGACGTACAAACACCGAAACGTCCACGTATACATGGTCCCATTCTCGCAGTGGTGCCCATTCCATCAGATGCAGGTCGGCCATTGCACTCAACATTCATTGTGCTGTGCTCCGCAGTATAACAATAGCTCTCTTGGTTCAGCTTACCTTGGCTACCTATTCTACTTATTATCTCGCTTGATCTGTTTTGCTATAGAGTGAACTTAGAAAAACTTCTTTCTTTGCTTTTCACAATGCTGAACATACTTCAATGCGTGTGCAGCACAACTCAGCTTATCACATTACATTAGATCGCGTCGGACACGCACTGAAGTATGTTTCAGGCTGCTGACCTAAGTACGCTGTTCATTGCTTCCCTAAGTGCTTGAATTTGACATTATAATCCTGCTTTTAACCCAAATAGCTCTAGTCTTTGGTTAGCTTTCTTGCTTTCTTCCTAGTTTCCAACTTTCTAAATATTAAACCTCGCATGTAGTTCAGCGTTCTGCTTCAATTCGTACTATGCAGCGCAAAACGATATTTAGATGCACAAAAGTCGGGTTACGGTTACGGTACGGGTAGACAGCGAAGTCTTGCTGTAGATTCGGTTGCTTCGTCGATCCTGCCACGGTTTATTTCGCCGTTCGCCAAGCCACCCTCGGTCAATGACTATCATTCACGAACCAAACCTGCGTTCAAGAGCTACAAATTCATGAAAAAACTCAGCCAGCGTCCGCGACTGAGGATCAGGCGGCCCGGTATGACCACATTTAATATTTGATTGACAATGAAAATCCTGATACGTGTGGAGTTTGTCTATCACCTTAGCACCTCCTCAAAAGTCCGGGATTTTCGATACATGTCGTCTAATATATTGTTGTTTCAAAAAGTACTAGAACTTTTTCTAAACAACAATTTCTCTTTGTTAAAATATGTGAGGTGTGCTGCAACGTATATCTACCGGAATGGAAATCAAAAACAAAACTTTGGTTTTATAGAACACTCTCAACGAACCGAAGTTGACATGCAACAGTAATAGCAAGTGTTTGTGAGGAGTTTTTCTTTCCAGTTTTTCGAGCGAGTCACACCTTTCTCTGAAAATCCAATACTTTCGATTCCTTTCATACGCACATAGTGATGGATTAATTCATTGATAACACGAGAAATGAAAATGAAAAATGATGATGACGAAATGATGGAATGATCCCCTCATGAAATAAAAAGTGAAATAAAAAAAATGGTAATTATCGCTCGAGCCCTACTTTGTTGATCGCACCTTACAGTTCTTTTTACCGTAACTACTGAATTCTTACTGAAAATATTATCAGAAAATATACAAAATTTAGAAAATTGTTCACTAATTAATTGATTTTTGCTCATTAGATACCGGCATCATTCGAAGCTCTATGATTCATGTCAAAATGTTTTGTAAACTTGACATTATTAACCAGTATCGTTTAGAGTTTCTTATAGCCTATATCGACTAATGGAAAGAAAATCTTGGATTCCTTTGTTCGTTTTCTTTTGCCAGTTATTTTCGACATTGCGCCAGAAAACGCACAACAGTAGCTGACGTTTCGGCAGTGTCACCTTCTTCAGAGCGTGGAAGGGTATGTTGATAAGCAATCTACAGCGCCAAGCGCTTCAATAGTTGTTGACCATGTGATTTCCATATCCATTTTCACCTTTCTCCATGATTGTTCTATTGATTGAACTGATAGAATCACATGCCCAACAACTATTGAAACGTTTAGCATTGTAGATTGCTTATCAATATACCCTTCCAGGCTCTGAAGAAGGTGACACTACCGAAACGTCAGCTACACTTTGTGTTAATTTTTTGTCTACGTAGTCAATTAGAGGGCGTGTGACGCAGTGGTCGTAGGCGCTCTGCAATACACGTGGGATCGATCCCCGCGTCCAAAGCCCCCACCAAGCCTTCCATCCTTCCAAGATCGACAAATTGGTACCAGACTTGTCTAGGAGGATAGCAACTCTCGTTCGCTCGATACATCGATAGGCCACCGCGAGTCATTGTAAAGGGTAGGTATACATTCAACCACCTCCAAGCGTTGCTTAATGAAGGCGAATGCATGGCGCATCCCTCAGGGATTGATCAACGCCGAGAGCTTTATCCTTTATTTTATCCTTTATGTAGTCAGCAATAAATATTTCCGATGTTGCTGTAATGGTCAAATATTCAAAATTCATTGAAAAACGCACTATTAATTGTCCGTCTGCATTTCCAATGAATTTTTGTCTTTTCCTTCTATTTTTATTATGAAATATACCGCATTTATGAGTTACTTTTTTGAGTTGTATGCAGCTACATAGTTTCTACAGTATAAAAAAACTAAAAGTGACTTTAAAAAGGTGTTAGCAAAGATATTCGTTGTCGAGTTTCCTTCTTTGGTGTTACAACTGTTCTCACTGATTTTCCGAGATTGTAACGTGGCTCAAAAGCTATGGTAATAGCGGCTCAATTTAGGTGAGAAAGCGATATCAGAGAACACGACCCAGGATGATCCTAACCTAACTCCATTCCAAAATTCGGCGAAGACCCGCTTCGGATACGGTAGCCACAGTAGATTCAGCGTTGGACCGGTGCCTCGTCGTCAGTTCTTGACATTCTCTTCGCTTTTCACTAGCCATACATTAAGCTAATAACCTGTAGTTCATTTCACAATACTTTTCTGTGACAGCTTCTTGATTTCGCTTTTGTCAAATGCTTGGAGAATTCGGGTTACAGAACGCTGTTAAACAAATAGTCTGCAATTACGTTTTGGATGAAATCTCTTTATCATGGAGAAAAACACTCCTCAGTTGACGATTGCAGGTCGGACGATTCCTGCTTCTATTTTGAGCGAGATTGCTGTGACGAAACCAACAGTGATAAGCACGATGAAAACGACCCCCGTAGGAACCACGTCGACGACAAAAATCGACTCAAATGATAGCAGTACAGGAGATTCAGGTGATCCCGCAAGGCTATCCTCACGGAATAGCGTTTTCAAAATACCATATCTTCGAATTTGTATGATACCTTAAAGTTAATAGGGATTTGATAAGTTCATCCAATTCTAGACTTTTAATTGGACCCGTCCTCTTAAGAAATTTGGTTATTCTACTATTTTATAAATCCTTTTTTCATATCGTTTACATTCTCTCCATAGGAGCCGGTTTCGGAGCAGGTCCCTCGGAACTGCCGCCCGAACTGGCAAACGTCGGCTTTGAAGTCAGTGGCAATGGGATCAATCTTAACGTGATCGGCCCAGTCAGTAGCACACCATCAATTTCCAAATTGCATTCAGAACGAGAACGACCAAAGCAGAGGTTATTGTTTCGCACAATTTATTTTTCATTGTTTTACCTAGTATTGTTAAAATTCCCTAGCTTAGTAACTGCAAGACTAAAGAACATCCGGTCCTTTGTTGATTCTGAATCCACACTATGTTTAAATTCTTATCTAATTTTCCTTTCCAGAAAGCAACCAAATCCGAAAATCTTCAAAGAAAGTGAAGGACTAGTTATCCCACAAAACTCGGGTCTTCGGCCGGTGGCACCGCCAAAAGAACTTTTAGAGATAGGAGGATTTGGACCCCACTCTCGAGGTATAATATTACGATTTTTTCACTCAGCAGTTATGGCACGATTAAGGAAAAAAACTGGCTGAGAGAAAGCCAACGCAGTCTCTGTAGTACCAGTGGACAACAAGTGAGCGCCGTAAAGCGTAATTGCGGGTTCGAATCTGAATTGGGGTCCAAGCTTTGCAATAAACTCATCGCCATTGCAGTTGTATTTCACATAATACCCTGTCATGAAACAAAAATAGTAGGCAGTGTATAATAAGTTGAACTCAATAGTTAATCCGACAGGTGATTGTTATCGTCATTAAAGTTTCATTTACTTCGTCTTAACGTTGCCATACGGATGCTCAGACGGAAATAAACGAATAAAACGAACGACAGGGATTTGCTAGAAACAACTGCCTTTGATGAGTAATAAACCGGCATCTCGTCCAGACAAGAAGCGCTTCCGTTTACGGTGTCGAGTGATAGCACAACCGGTGATAGCAGATGAACTACCAGATTGCTTAAGACTTCACTGGAACCGGTTCGAAACAACGCGTCACGATGGGCGTTGTAGACTGTTGCTATGATTGCTCTTCACCCAGCAGAATATTCTCTTCAGAAACTGATCTTAATCATTTCTAAATGCTCCATATCACATAATTTTTCAAGTTTCACTTGATCGGGAAAAGAAAAACAAAAATGTTGCTATACGCCAATGAAAAGATGGAAATCCGTATTTTCCATAAGAAGAAAGGATCACATGACGAAATAGCGCTGGAGAAGCTTTATCTACGCCTATCCAATACCACTCGCGTCATCAACTCACACAAGCTTTACTAAGCCGACTTCCACATCATCTCAGAATTAATAATCAATATGTTTCCTTGTATTGCTCAGCTTATACGAGGTTGTTAAGCAACTTCTAGTCGGCTAGCCGAATAAAAGTTATATAACTTCCTCAGACGAGGCCTTATCATCTAGTACGCATCCCTTCATCATCAACCTTGTGGTCAACATAAAAGAGACCAAACTGTTCAGTTTCTCCAGTAAATTAGAAGAATTGATGTGCAACAAAAATTATTTTTGTGAACACCGGTGCAAGTATAGTAAATGGGAGTGGAAGTGAATGCAAGATCTGAAAACTTGGAGTAGGAACCGTAGAAAAGGGCCTGCATCACTCTGCTGACTTTTTCTAGAACGAGCACAATCACTACTAGATTTGATAATTACATTGTATACAATGCGAAGAGAAGATTATGCCTTATATGAGTTGTCGTAGTTCGTTCATCTGTACTGAATCTGATCACCGTTTGCTGCCTCGGTAGACTTGATTTATCTAGAGAGAAGGTGGTCCGGTCAAGCATCTTGAGCTTCTTCTTAGAGTACCTGAACACCATGCCGAATACGTCTCTGCTTTTTTATCAAGAAGTTTGGATCCTATCTCCACCACCTCTTAGGTGCTTCTTGAAAAAAAAAATAGAACTGAAACTGCTCCTAACTTCAACAAATCACACACGGCTGCTGAAATCGCCAGTTGCAAAAAGTGCTTGCAGGAAAATTTTCGGTAGTAGAGGAAAGAACACCGTTAGAGTTATCTAAAAAGGCCAGTTACCTGTTATTCTTTGAGTTTTTGTGGGTTAAGGATTTAACATGTTGTACACAATAATTTTAGCTTGGGAATGATTCCACGAAGATACAGCCTTACAACCGCTCACCAATTTTTTCCCTTAGAAAACTTGTTCAACTGTGGGATACCTTTTCGAAGCTGTTCGTCTTTTGGATGAAACGAGAATTTTGCATGGATTGATGGGAATTCCCTAGACATCTTGAAACATTATGCCAGTGACATCTCCATCGCTTTGAGAATTGCTAATGACATCGAGGCACATGCTTAAAGTGTTTAACGAAGCGCTGTAAATGATACACCTGAGAATCGGTTCGAAGAAAACGTAGTTTATGAGAAACCTATGGTACGGTGGAAAACAAATAAATTTGGTTGGTCCTTTTATTACAAAGGCCAGAATATCTTATGTATACCTAGAGCTTCAGTTAATGGAGAAAAGACATAAACGGAAGAAGCATAAAGAGGACAATAGGTAACACAGACTAGGTTACGGTATGTTGAAAAAGCCAACATTAAGTTGACATCTCTAAAACTTTCTGGTTCAGCGACCCTCTCAGTCATGTCATTCATTTGAAGTGCTAAAAATCGACTACGTCATGGATTTTACTGACTAAGGAAAGAGCGACCATCCATATTCGCAGATGGAAGAATATCCATATTCACAGAAGAATATTCAAGAACCTCATCTTGTCTAAATCAAGCAACCACCATAGGTGATGATTCCCCTTATCGAGTTAACCGGTAATTAGTTGGAAACCGTATAACTCGTGAAAAGAGAACATACAACTCTCAGTAGATAGACTATTTGCTTTACATCTAATATTGAAGTTAGATATAAAAAAACGACCAGAATGAAAAACAATAAAATCGTTGCTAGATTATTTTCTGAACAAAAACTCAATTCGCGCTTCTTTTATTTCATATATGAAGTAACAAGTTATGGAATTTATGAAAGGAATAAGTGCGTAAATACTTCCAGGCAGAACTGATGCGTCAGCAAGTGGATTTGGTGGCAGTTCAGATATAACGTTGTCTAATTCGGGACAAGGGCCAAATCCTGGTGTGTGTTATCAGCAACTGATTGAGGAGAAGTGTCTTAGATTATTACAGAAGTATCTGCTGTCAAGCTTCAGCTACTAACGAATACATCTCTGTTTATGTTAAAAAATATAAATCAAAATGAACTCTGAAACATCTTTATCATGTTTATTTATGTCATTCTCGAGAATTTACAATTCCTGAGGCCGTTCAATTTACTATGGATATTTTCAGCAGCAGTTTTCTTCCTAGGTTTTCCCATTAAGTAGTCAGTAAATTACTTGAAGAACTTGCGCTCTGTTCACGAAAAGTCATATAAGTAAGCATAATGCAATAGAGTTCCGTATCCTATTTTTTCAACTTCCGCCGAACTTATTGTACAAGGTGTGGTTGCTCGTTTCATCATAAAGCATAACTAACTGGCCACATAGAGTAATAAACACCCGTAGCACATTGTGTTGCACACCTAGCCGTGTTTTCTTCAACGTTTTGGCGCTATAAAGGTTTGATAGGTTTAAGATGTCACAGAGGGCTCGTGTAGCGCAGCGGTCGGAGGCACTTAAGTACACATGGGATCGATGCCCGTACCCCAGGATCGCCACGCTTTTCACCCCTCCAAGGTCGACAAATCGGTACCAGTCTTGTCTGAGAGGATAGCAACACTACCTCGATACAACGGTAGGCCACCCCGAGTCATTGTAAAGGCTAGATATGCATCCAATCATCTCCAAACGATGCTTAATGAAGTCGAATGTATTGCACATCCTTAAGGGATTGATCAACACCGTGAGCTTTATTCTTGTATTATTTAAGATGCCATAATGGATAGTTTTCTTCATATGAAAATTCGGCATTATCAAGTGCTTCGGTTCGTCGTTTTCATTCAACATTGCGCAAAAGGTCGTTCTTACAGAATCTAATTAATTCGAATGTCGCCATTCAATCAGAAGACGGATCGCTTTTGTTTCTCACGCATAAGATGCGTCGGATGTACTTCATAACGATAATATCTCGGATTTTCATTTCATACATGCGGCTTCAGTATTTCAAGATTTTCGGCATCTTTTCCTAGCTGAGATGCTTGAAACCTATTGCTACACCAAGTTTTTCCGCAAGTTCGTAGCGTTATGGACTTGCTTCACTAAATGCCTACACCCGTTAACTGTGGTTTTCGGCGGATCGGCCAAAACCAACTTCTTTCCCCGACTTCATGCCTTTCATATCTATCATAAAACTTGTTACAGCAACGCTTTAACGTTACCTAAAGGTTAGCTGAATCTCTTATATCGTGTGAGGCTTCAGTGGTTTCTGTCCAAGTTTGAATTCACGAAACGAATCCCTCCTGTTAAAACGGTAGTTGACGTTTCGGCAGTATCGCCTCCTTCAGAGCCTCGAAGGGTATAGTGATATGCAATTTGCTAGGAGAAACGCTTCAACAGGACAAACAGAAAGATGAGAATCTGAATGATAATTATGCGATTAACGCTTCTCGAAAAACCCACCGTTTCTCCACCTTTCTTCCACCGAGGAAGAACAGCCGCTCAGAGTCGCATATGGTTGACGACTGCACCTCCCCACATCAGCGGTCGATGGTAAGGTACTGGGCAGAGCCACTTGTGATCTCAGAGCATTCCTCTCTGCTATTCATTCTCGGATTCTTGGAACTTATCCAAAATGTATCCAATTTGTAATCAAATGCCGAGATTAATATAAAGTGGATCTTGGGAACTGTTACAAGATGATAAAATCTGTTAACACAAAAGCACGAATTTTTATTTTTGGAAACGAGTCAAAGTTTTAAAAAGACATAATGGCAGCTATTTCCTGAATCACTTACTAAATAGTTAACCGCCAACTTCAAGTTTAGCAATCAGTAGAGGTTTTAGGATATCAGAGGATTCCTGGCTTTGAAGGTCCTGAAACGATGGACAACAGTTATGGACACTTTTCTTACAGCATCCTTTCAGAAGATACCCATTCAGATTTCTTTACCGGCGACTCGGCACTCACTCCATCTCGTGGTCCGACTGGAGACGGATATGGTCCACCAATTTTCCCAGGTGGAGCTATTCCTCCTCCAGTACCCGCTGTTGGATTGGGCGGTGCGGCAGCAGGAAAGAGCCCCTATGTCGCTGTCTTGGAAGCGACTGAAAACCCACCCACTACGGTGTGCATCACAAGTATTAGCAAAAAATTAAAGCTGAATTTGAGTATGAAGTTTTGATTTAGGTTAAGCCATCTGCACTCCTGAACGTGCTCAATAAAGCCGACCGAGGCTTTAATCAAGCAATAACCCACTTTGAGCAAGAAAGTCCTCTGGAGACGGCCGCCATAGATATTCTCGAAGGTGCTGGCTTTTTCATCTATTTATTTTATTTGGAAGAATTATTGAACCACTGAAACGAGCACAACACTCTTGGCAAATAACGAAACGTCTCTAGCGAAATCTTATTTGTTTGTAGTTTGCAGTCCTTCTTCTCGTAGAGTAATTTTTCTAGTACCTCTCCCAAGCAACACATCTGTAATGCGCTCTGGCTTACGGTTACTCTACGAAACTCCACAGCTGTTGTAGAATCTTAGAAGTCCGACATTATAGCAACAGGAGCAGAAATTACATACCCTGAATTCACATGTTCTTACGGTAAACTTGCTGACTTAGGTCAAAACTCTGAATCACCCCTCTTGCTTTTGCAGTACAAAAATGTCACCACTGTTTTGGTGGCGCTTTTGATGAACTCGATCCTCTTCCAACTTAATCACGTTGAAAAAGTTCCGAAAACTTGCAATAATGAGTAACCAGTAATAGCCACGACGTCGTTCCGAACTTCATCAAACGAAGACGACTGCACGACGTATGCGGTCTACCAGAGGACAGTCACCGAGTATTGGACGTCGAAATGCGAATACTACCCACTTGTCTACGAAGCCGACAAAACCAGATGTTCGCCAAGTGGAAGAAGTGCGAGACAAAGGAAAACTTTTGTGCTCAATATTTGGAGGACCACCTCTGGAGGAGAATAGTGGGCGGGTCAGTGTTGATTTGCAACTC